AGGCCTGTGCTCAAAACTAACATGAGTTATATACAACTCACATGGCAGTTAATATGTTAAAACATAGTATGTCTTATGTATGTGCTTCCCATTGATCTTTCTGCTTCCCATCCTGGGAATCCATTGCTTTCCCTGTGCCCACTGCCCCTGCCAGCTTCGTAACCTTGCTCCGCCCCCATCAGTCCCACATGTTTGTAAGCCTGCAGAAGGCAAGAGTGTGGTAGTGACCCAGATATGCTGGTGGCATTTCAGGTAACAAGACAAGGAAAATTAATGTAGTTTAGTGGATGGTAATTTGGGGACTGAGGACAAAGCTGTCTTAATGACAGACCAGCCCCGTTCAGAGACTTCTGGAGGAGGTTGGGGAACACAGGTGAGGAACTGTGGTTACTTAAGAACACATACATCTAGCTTACATTATTATAAAAACTCATCTTTTGTTTTTGGTTTATTTCTTACTACTCATTTCATTCCATAAAATATTTAAAGTATAAACTTCTGTTCTTTAATTAAGATCTGCTAGTTAGATTCTAAGTAATTTAAAAGACATCTTTGTCCCTAAAAATCAGTCTGCTTTTGTAGGTGGCTGTGGACAGAAGAGGGCCCAGAACGAACTTGAGAATCGCGTTGGGGATTGGAGGGTTTGGGTACCCCGCCATGGCCGCCATCAATGCACGCAAGATGAAATTTGCTCTGCTGAAAGGGTCTTTCAGTGAGCAAGGCATTAACGAGTTTCTCAGGTAATTTCTTATTTTCTTGAGTTGTTGTTTTTTCTGTTTGTTTCTATTATGGTTTTTGGTTTAACACCAGGTATATCATTCCAAAATAAGTGGAATTGTTTTGCATTTGAATTTCCAGAAAATTGGATGTTTATAAATTAGAGTTGTTAAATCATCTTCCTGTATGCGGTTCTCTTTTCCATGGACATAATCTACATGGTGGATGAGGAGAAAGCTTTGCTGCCCTCAGGCCACCATGCATGCCATCTGTGCACCTGGCACCAGGCTTTTTCTGATTTCCATAAAGGTCTCAGAGGGGCTAGAGGCAGCCCTGTCTCACCCATTCCCACCCTTTGTACTCCTGACCTCAGGTGATGTGGTTTCCATTTCTGGGCACTTGGCTTTGGAATGTAGTTACTTAAAAATGGGTGTACTTAAGTTATTCCAACAATGTGCGAACATCATGATAGGTTCTCAAAGTTAAAAAATAATTTCTAGAGCTCACTATCCTGCTCTGTCATTCATTCAGCTCATTCTAAAACTGACTTAATCATCTTTTAGGCAAATACAAGGCACTGACCTAAAGAGATTTTGTTCCCATTTCTTGCTTTCTTCCTTGTTCATTTCTCAGCTGCCATATGAAAGATACTCAGCACACAGAAGGTAGTTCAGAGGGTTATGATGAATAATGAGCAGTAAGAATAACATTTGAAGGTCTGCACTGCTTTTGCTGCCAACTCTCCTATTTAACACACAGTATTAATGTGCGTGTGCGCTGTGTGGAGAGCAGAGGCTCTGCAGTCAGGTGCCCAGGGTCAGCCTGGCTGTGCCTTGAGTGGTGACCTGGAGTGGGGTGGCAGGCATGGAGAAGCCCCTGTGAGGTCACTTTCAGCCTCTGCCCGGGGGCAGACCCTGGCTCCTCCTCTTCCAGCTAACTTTGGGCAAGTGACATAGCTTTCCCGCACCTCTGTTTCCTTGTTTTTAAAATGAGATACTATTATAATAGAAGCTCCAGTTTGGGCTACTGGAGAATTAAAAGAGAGAGATCAGCAAGGACACAGCTCAGTGTAGTGCCTCAGACAGAGTAAACATCTGCCTGGTAAACATCTGCTGTTGTTTTTAAGACCACATAGATGTGAGGTGTATCGTGACTTGGGGAAGGGTATTACATTGAAAGATTTGTTATAAATCATCTCAATTTAGAAATTGTTTAAACAGGCGCAGTGGCTTATGTCTGTAATCCCAGCACTTTGGGAGGGTGAGGACAGAGGATCACTTGAGCCCAGGAATTCGAGACTGCAATGAGCTATGATTATGCCATTGCACTCTAGTCTGGTTGACAGTAAGACCCCATCTCTATAAGAATAATAAAAATTTTAAAAATTTAAAGAAAAAAATAGAAAGTGTTTAAATAAAGAAGGGGAGATAAATGTAAGAATCAATAAAATATGACATCACAATATAAGTTTTGGAGTACCTTTTTAGTTTGTATTTTCCCCAAGCATCGTAATAAATGGAATCCAAGGTAATAGGTTTTTCTTTTTAATGTTTTTCTTTATTATGGAAAATTTTAAATATGTACAGAAGTAAAGAGACTAGACTAAAGGACATTTTTGTATTTGTTATTTTCAACTTCAGTTACCAGCTAATGGTCAACCTTATTTTGTCTACCCACATCCTCCTCCAGTATTTTTAAAGCAAGTCCCATTCCATCTCATCTGCAAATGTTTTAACATGTATCTCGAAAACTTTCAAAAACATCACAATACCATTATTGCACCTAAAATATTAGATGATTCAAATTTCTGTGGTTTGTGCGATTCAGGTCCCATTGTGAGCATGCACTGTGGTTGGTTAATATGGTTAAGGAGATGTTTTCATAACGAAGTCTGGGAATGGCTTAAGTCTGTGATTGTCATAGAGTTCTATTTATTTAATCACAGAGTCAGAAATTGAATACAGTATTATCTCATGTAATATTTTTTTCTAATGGATGTGCTTACTCTGACCCATTGCTGCCACTACATTTATAGATTGTTTAGCTTCATTGTTACTAACTTAAATTTCTCTGGGTTGTTTGCTGAACTTATGCATATTTGCACTGGTAGTATTTTTAGCTTTGGTTTTCTAATAGCCAGATTACAACAGGTCTGATGTGTTTTTCACATATAGACATTCACACTTTCTCACCACTAAGCAGATATGTACGCCAGCCCCAGGTTTGTTGGAACCAGTCATCTCAAGAGTGACAGGGAGTGAATTTGTAGCACTTGAAAAACAAAGAAAATAAATTAAAAGTGAAAAAAAAATTTAAAAAAAGAGTCATAAGGAGCCTGAGTTCTAGATCAATTTTGATAATATTTTGTTCCCTGAGGACACCATGATGACTTTGATCATTTTTATGTACATAATTTGTATTTCAGCAAAAAACCTTTGCTATTTTTAAAGTCTTGTTGGTAGCAACTGACTTTGTCTGAGCAGAGGACTTAGTCAGGAATGCCATGCCTGGTGGTATTATTGTCCATGATTGAAAACATAATATTCTTGAGCTATTTTTCAGGAGTATACTGCAGCAAGGGGCAAGAAATGCCTGTACATAGACCTCATAAGCAGATTGTGGTTGAAGTGGTTCAGTCATCTGCATCAGCAGTCCATGTGAACCTGTATTTGTTTTGGTCCTTTTCCCCAAAGGGAGCTCTCTTTTGGGCGTGGCTCTACGGCTCCGGTGGGAGGCGGGGCTTTCCCCAGCATCAGCGAGAGAGAGCCTTGGGACGGCAAGGATGGTGAGGTGAGTGCCCGGACAGTCCCGTTGTGCTTTCTCAATCTCTGTGCCTGGAAGTCAAGTCCCCGCCGACAGACCTAAGCTTTGGCATTCATGAAGTATTCTCACCCATGGGCCTTTTAAGAGGTTCTTTACTTTCATTTCATCTTCCCTATTACATGAAAAAGTGCTTTATGGCATATTTGATATTCTTGACAGACATCCAAGATAAATTGTAATAGTGAGGTTGCTTTCCTGATTATTAACCCTAAAGTGAACATTTAACCTGAAATTCATTTACTTTGTCTTCAAGAAATGTAAAGTGATAGTTTGAAGTTAGCATTTATTTGTGAACAGTTCTGTCCCACCCTCCCCAAAAGAACAAGTTAAATGACTTTCAGTTTTAAAGAGGTAAATGATGTTATGTTAAAATCATGTTTCATCTGAGTTCGCAGTTTTTCCATCTATGCAGTAGGGGCAAAGGTAAAAGTAGGAAGCAGACTGAGGAGAGAAACTGGTTTGTAATCTAGAATACCTCTAGAAATTAGTTTGCTCTTCTGTAAAATGAGATGTTAACTTTTCAGGGTGTCCCCTGTCTGTGGGTCTAATGGTGGTTTTCTGTCTCGCAGCTTCCCGTGGAAGACGACATTGACCTAAGTGACGTGGAGCTTGATGACTTAGAGAAAGATGAGTTGTGAGAATGACAGCAGAGGCTTCAAACTGTTTTCTTTTCTTGGGAGCCAGCGGATTTTTCCAGCAGTGAAGGAACATTCTTTACAATCAGATGAACCTACCAGTGGCCTTTTAAACCAAGAAGTAGCACTTGATTGGTCATTTGAAAACACTGCAACAGTGAACTTTTGCATCTCAAGAAAACATTGAAAAATTCTATGAATTGTTGTAGCCAGTGAATTGTATTGTATTGTCACATAATATTTTGAAGAAAACTCAGCTGTTGAAAATTTTTTCCTTCCTCTGACTGCTGCTTGAATGAATGTTCTTAGAGGCTGTTTCTTATGTATAGGTTTTTAAATGTGATTCCTTCATTTGAATATTAATGGCTTTTTCCATTAAAGAATTAAACAATATTTTGGACAATGCTGATAATGTATGAAATTAGTGTCCACATCATAAACTCAGAGTCTGATGTTTAGGCAGCAAACCAATATGATAAGTGATGATACTGGTGTCTTTCCTCCCTATTTAAAACAGAAAATACCTCTTTGACTCAGTGATGCCACCTGGATGCCCACCCCAATACAGACTTCACATGAGAAACTGGGTTGTCAAGTGAGAACTGCATCTTATGCCCAGTATTTTTACTTTGGACCATCACTAGTGGCTAATTATTAGGGAATGGCTGGTTATATAGCTCAAGGTTTTTTATTACTAATCTCATAAAATATTGATTAAGACATGAAATATAGCAGCAGGTTGCCAATTTATAGGCAGTTCCCATTTATGTAAAACATTCAGAAAAATGAAATTTTTGAATTATGTTAGAACATAAGAAAAGACAATTCAAAGGACTTGAAAGCATTTAATTGTAACTTAAAAAAAATAAATAACAGCTGTAACTAACTTTTGTGAGCAATTTCTCTAAGAAGTCTAAATTCTGTAGGTCATTAAAAAGTATTCCTGGCTAAGGGAAAGGCATCTGTATTCATCTGCGTGAATGTGAAGGTGGTGCCAGCTGACCTCTAGTCAAGAAGGCTAAGGTCAATGCGGAAGTAGACGTAAGGAAAGTAGTCCTGGTTATTGAGTTGCAACCCAGGGATCTCCACAGATGCCTACAAAAGAAGACATGGTAATAATGTACTGAGTGCATAAACTACTTTCCTGTTTTATTTCTAATTTATATGTTTGAAGAAGCTCTCCAGGCGATAACCATATATTGTGCCCTGCATTGCTGTGGCCTGTCCCCAACATGTCCCTTACACACTCCCAACCCCTTCCCTGCTATGCTTTAACATTTGTGACATGTAGATTTTTTCATAAGCCTGGCAAATAACATTTTTTTCAAAGTGTCTCACATGGGGACGCTGACCTGACTGTGGAAGTGCCACTGTTTCTGGGCCATATACCTACATCCAGTATACTTGCAGCAGCTACTTGATCCAGATGTCTGAAGACAGAGTTTAGAACCTCTCTTAAACGTTTGGTGGATGACTTCTTATGTGGCTGCAGGAGCACTGCCTGGAAGTTCACTGGTAGTCCATACCTGTTCAGATAGAAGAAAGTGTGTCAGTAGCTCCTCCACATGCGAACATGGACACAAGGAACCTGACAGGGAATGAAGAGCAAATTCTGGAAATGAAAAGCTCCAACCAACACGGCTCAAAAATAAACTCAGGCAAAATGTCTAGGGTCAGAGGTGATCTCTCTGGATAGAAAAAGCTCTAGAACATGCTAATCCTCTTCTGGTAGCAGTAGTTTTTGCCAATGGAGCAAAGAGGTCATTCCTGGCTGTGAGTGACCCTTCCCTGGTGAGTGCTCTAGCTGAATGGTGGCAATTGAACTGAACATTCTCTGAAGCATTTGTCTAAAACCCAGGACAGCTGTTTTGTTTTCCTCCCCTAAAAGAGGCAAAACCCGGTTTATCAAGATTGTTATTAGTTCCTTTTGCTGAGTTTTTAGATGGATAGAAAGGATTTTAAATGTACCTGGTTGTATGCCTGAGTACATTCGAAACCACTTGTTGGGGCGAGCTCTTGCTGTAGTGTTATCCCAAGACAATTACTTGTATCCAGTATGATGATAAACATGTATTTTGTGATTGGGGAAGCATTAAGGCACACATCAGTGAGGAAATGCTGCAACATTCAGTCCTTAGCACCTGTGCTCCCAGCCGTGGCGGGAAAGCAGTCCTTAAGATGCCCTTCCTCTCACCTAGGACTCTGGTTTCTCCAGACGGGCCTGCCACGCGTGTGAGTCACAGGGACAGGATATGTTAGTATTACTAAGGTTTTATTTTCCAATGCCCATAAATTATCCTCTGGCTCCCAAACCTTCCCAGCCCTCATTTGGGGCCAAGTATTCCCTGTGATACTGCAGAAAGGTGAGAGACCTAAACATGTGAAGGGGCCATTGGTAACCACTGATGCTTTTGCTTTCACTGACCAAGCTCAAGGCCAACCTAACCGTGTTGCCTTCACCTTTGGGAGGCAGTGCCACAGGAGGCTGGCAGGAGTTCACAGGCAGGACAGTGGTAGCGGCATAGGTACCAGGTGAGACGAATGGCCCAGCTGACCACCTCATCTCTTTTGTTTCTATTTCTGGTCATCAAAGCTCTGGTGTCACCCAGAGGAAATGAACAGAGAGGCTGTGAACCAGCACATCTGTCACAATGCTTGTGGCCTTCCCAGATGGCAGGTAACCACCAGTCCCGTACCCCAGGCCACGTGCACACTAAGAACTGGCACCCTAGTTCTCCATGTGACTGCTAGACATCACTTGGCCACCCAGACACAAACACTCTGCTTTGTCATCATGCAACCTGGTGATTCCACCGCAGTCATGGCCAAGTGGCCCTGGAGGTTGTTTACCCATCTACTCGGAAGGGGCCCATCGTTAAAGCCCGCTCCCTCCCCAGCCTGAGCTCCAGGGCAGAGGCCTATTCTGTCTTGTTGGCACTAAGAGGCCACCGTGAGCACTCACTGAGAGTTGACTGAAGCTAAACAGCTCTCCCGCCTTTGACCCTTCCTCGGCCTCTGGGCTCTTCCAAGACCCTCCTCGTCCCTCCCCTCTCCCTGTGGCTCGCCAAGGCACCCCGTGGATCAACTCTGACGAATGCCACCTCCATTCTGCCCAGAACATGAGCCAGGAGCAGTGGCCTGTTCTCCCTGCTCACTCTCCTCACTCCGCCCCAGGCCGCGCCCTCCTGACCACGAGGTCACCGGGCAGGGAGCCGCCCACCCGTGCTCTGAAGCAGGACTCAGCCTGTCTCCATTACTGGCCCTTCCCTTGACCAACACTTTCCCTGCTCAACATAAAACGCCAGCTCCCTAGAGCTCTCACCCGACCCCGTCCTTTCTGAGAGCCTGAGTGTCTGATCACTGTGTCACTCCTTCAACCCCTGTCCTCCAGCCCCTCTCACCAATGACGTCCTCATAGCCAAATGCAAGGGACACCTGAAACCTGACATCCCAACCATGACTGCTCCCTCCTCTGCCAGCCTCCACGTACTCCTTAAATAGCTGGGTGTCCCTGTGGCCCTTCTCTCTGTGACTCTCCCTGGGCAATGGACCTGGCACCTGCCATCCATGATTCTCTAGTATCTGCTCCCTGCACAACCCCCCCCCCCAGCACCCAGACCTGATGATGCAGCCACCTGCGCAGCCTCCTGGCAGCCCCACCGCCCACTCACTGTCCTCTTGGGTCACTCGGGCCCCTGGGACACTTCATCTGTGACCAGCACCTCCTGGCCTGAGGACCGTGCCCACTTTACCTCGATTGTATTCAGTCAACAGACATGTCGCATCTATCTGACTCTGGTGACAGGTAGAAAGAGGACTCGGACTCAGTGCCCAGTGCCGGGGAAAGGTGCACACCTGTGAGACGAGGCAGGCGGCACAATGCCAAGGGGGCGAGGCAGAGGTCAGGGGAGCAGGGAGGCAGGTGGGTTCGTGCCAACGAACTGGTGAGTTCAACGTCAGTTTCTTAGGTTATCTCTTCATGTGATGGAACGTGAAAAAGCTGGTTAAAAGGATCAAGCAGCTCTGCACACAGTGGCAAGGAAATAAGCAAGGTGCGGGACAGGAAGTGTAGAAAACCCCCTGTGGGGGATAACAAGGGTCTCAAAGCCACAACCACGACTATCTCTGGTGAGGAGGACCTGGATGGTGAGGACCTTCCGCTTTCCACAATAGAGATTCCTGCGCTGGAGCTGTTTTTTTGGTTTTTTTTGTTTTTTGTTTTTTACAATGTTCAGTTATTACAACTGTATTCAGGAAAAACAGAGTAAAAGATGTCACACCCTGATAGTTTTGAGAAGAATTCTTTTTGCATATACTTTTAGGGGAAATACTCGGTTTTATCGAACTTAAGATATTAACCCTTTGCACTCGGATGTCGAGTGTGACTCGACACGGTTAGCATCGGTAGCAGCAAGAGAAAAAAGCAAGCGAGGGCAAAGGGTTAAGGATGTCTGCCTCAACCTCTCTCTTGAGCAAATGGGCATCCTGTGAGGTGTGGACGGACTTCTCCGTATTGGGCCTGAGAACAACCGATTTCCCAGACAAGTGGGGTTGATCCGGGAACTGTCTATACTACAGATGGCCGGGACACTCCAGATTTGCTTGGGTACACCCTCCCCCCCGATGCTGCCACCGTGCCATGACAGGCCTCCGAGATGGGCATGCGTGTGTGTGAGGGGGTGTGGGTACGGTTGTGGTGTAGATGTGTGTGTGGTGTGTGTGGTGTGGGTGTGGCATAGGTGTGTGTGGGTATGTAGGTGTAGGTGTGGTGTGGGTATAGGTGTGGGTGTGGTGTGTGTGTGGTGTGTGTGTAGGTGTGGATATGGCATGGGTGTGGTGTGTGTGTGGTGTGGGTGTGTTGTGTGTGTGTATGGTGTATGTATGGTGTGTGTGTGTGTGGTGTGTGGTCTGTGTGTGTGGTGTGTGTGTGGTGTAAGTGTGTGTGGGTGTGGCATATGGGTGTGGGTGTGGTGTATGGGTGTGTATAGGTGTAGATGTGTGTGTGTGGGTATGGTGTAAGTGTGTGTGTGTGGTATGTGGGTGTGGTGTGTGGGTGTGTATAGGTGTAGTGTGTGTGTGGTGTGGTGTGTGTGTGTGTGTATAGGTGTAGATGTGTGTGTGGGTGTGGTGTGGTGTGAGTGTGTGTGTGTGTGTATAGGTGTAGATGTGTGTAGGTGTGAGTGTGTGTGGTTGTGGTGTGGGTGTGGTATGT